TGAAACATGCTATTTTTTCTGCAACCGAAACAATTAAATCAAATAAATATGTGGATCGAGTAACCACGAATAATGCTGTGCCATATGTATGCATACCAACAAATAATCCGTGTGGTGAGAATATTCTACCTACAGCAGGTTCATTCTATTTTCACGGATGTTCAAATTGTAGTTTCAATATAAATACAACCACAGAGTGACATATGTGTGTATATGGACCAGGTGCTCTAATGGAAAATACCGCGCCAGTGCCAGGTATAGGAACAAGACGTGGAAAATGTAAGGTTAGTGAGCGTATCAACAATATAATAATTAGGCAATCCAACGACCTGCCAAATAATTTCAAAATGGCGTCTGGTTGGCAAACAAACCAAAGAGAAGTTTGTTAACTTGAGGACTTTGTGGGTTTTGGAAGCCTTTCAGAGTATTATTTTATTTAGTTTTGGTAAGATTTATTGTGAATAATAAAAACTCAGTATGATTTTAAAGAAAAAAATACCAGTAACGTGTATTGTGGTGGATTGTGGAAGCCCAGATCGAGAAAATTTATTCTGCTGTGACTGAAACGGTGCAAAAATTTCAAAATGTTACAAACTGCAGTTATCCAGTAATGGAGTAAAGAGGATCTTTTCTGTACAAAATTGAATAACTTTTCATAGCATTTTATTAAATGTAAATATTCCTCCGTTGCTCACTTTCAAGTATAATATAATCAACCATATCTCCATGACGGCGCCACTGGTAGAGAAAAGGAAAATCTGTGCACATCAAAAAATGTACCTTAATGCATAGAAGATATGTACCAAATTTCATAAAGTTGTCTACAATAATATTATCCCAGCTATTATTAAAAAACTGTTTTTTTTTTCTAAAACTTCATCACCCTGAATCTCAAAAGTTAAAACTTCTAGGACATACATTTTATAGTGGGAAATTTTTTTCTTGAAATGAGTTGAAGAGCACTCCCTTGAATATCAGCATGTCTTTAAGGAACACACTGTATATACCCTATGGTAGCATAGATCAATGCTTGAACCAGATTAAATATTTTATGAGGCAATAATCCGAAAACAAATTCTTACCTACTTATGATACCTCATCGTAACCACTTATACTGAACCTTTTATTATTACATACTTATTTCAAAATAATCATCTCCGCTATAAATAGCGGTGTAAACAAAAATCTGAATACACCAATGAATTCTTGCCAGGAATATTTAATTCAAACTCAGAAATTCGTTTAGGAAGAGAATGAAATTAATTTATTAAAACTGAAACGGGAAAACCTTTTTCACGGATTGCTCTAAATTTTTCTTTCTCTTTATATCTCATTTATGACAAAAAACTTCTAACAATAAATTCGCAGAATGAAAGCGGTATCTTGGCACACTGTAAGTTACCCCCTAGTGAAATACCCCCATGGGAGCATCCCTGACTTCTTTATTAAAAAGCATCGTCATTTCTTAATGAGATTATATATATTTTTAGAGTAGGTACAGTTTTCAGCATGTTACACATACAATTTTTAGTGGAAGTGATATATATATATATATATATATATATATATATAAGACATTTTCACCAGTTTGAATAATACTTCGCGTTTCGAACTGTGAATACGGCATGAAAACTACATTTCCTTTTGCAGCTCTATATACAGGGTTTCATGGATTGAAAGAAGTCGTGTGGAGGAGAAAAAGGGTTATTTCCAATCAAACTAACCGTCTATGTGGTCATCCAATTGTTGATGGTTCAAAAGTTATTAGTTTTTTTCATTTCATGATCTTGCATGTCTTTTACAAATTTCATCCACCTGTATGCACCTTTCCGCAGGAATAATTTTATGATATGTGTTACTTCTCATCAATTACCTGAGAAAAATCTTGTTTTCCTTAAGTTTTGTCATTGAATGAAATATTTGAGTTGACTTTTAAATTCGGCTGAAAGAATTAAAAACTACCCCACAAATAAGATCACCAATTACAAGAAAAAATTGCCCATTTAATACAGATACAGATTCCGAAATGAAATAACATATGGGGTTATTCAAAACAGCTTTTTTGTTATTAATTTTCAGTGGAATGAGCTGAAGAAAATCTTCACCCCCAAAAAAGTAGATGATATAGCATACATCAATACGTACAAAGATTGGTGCGCCAAAAGAGGGGTCACAAAAGCCGTAGATCTCGAAAACGAAGCAAGTTAGGACACAATCATGTTCACTCGCATGTTCATATGAACTTAATTTCCTAAAATATCACGAGGAATCCCCCTTGAATTTTTTGGTGTTATTCAGATACCAATGAAGTAGAATTATTATTAATATATATCATTATTAATTAATGTGTTCATTTTCTTATCATTCCATATTATTCTGGATATTAGATGTTCTTCATATGCAGAAAGCGTGCAAAACAACCAAGAAGAAGGGGAGGTAGGTATATAATCGGTCGTCTATAATAGTGGTAACACGGTGAGTCAAATTCAATAGCAAGAGGTGAACGATCCAAGAGCCGAATTCAAGATCAATTAGGTACCATTATTTGATTATTCAAACTGGAGGGAGCAAATAGCTACATCTAATCTTTGCATGGTAGAAGTCCATATTGCTCAAAGTGGATTGGAATTTTTCAAAGGAAGGAAGGAAGGAATGCTCTAAGTCATCTCCACAAATTTTAATGGTTTTGTTACACAATCATGAGTGACATGTTTCGGTCTCATAAAAGACCATTTTCAGCCTAATTGAAAGTTTTTGAGTTGAAATTGTTGTCAATGCCCATAGTCTAAAAATCGAGTTCAAAAATGAAACGGGGCCTGGATAAATAAAGGGCCCCGTACCCTGAGAGCGCATACTGATCTCATTGAGAATTTCATGTACCAAAATGGTAATAGCCAAAAAGTTTGGTTTTTGACAACACCATGAATTAACAGATTTTTTGAAAAAGGAGGTATTCCGTTCAGAAAAACCGTTCATTTATGGTGTTGTCAGAAACCAAACTTTTTGGCAATCACCCTTCATATATACCTATTTGAAATTTGAAATGAAATGAGATGAATGGTTTGCGCTTTCAGGGCACGAGGCCGTTTATTCATTGAGAACCCGTTTTTTATTTATAAACTCGATTTTTAGACTATGGGCATTGACAAAAATAATTCCACAATTAGTATAGCATAACATTTTTTCAACTCCAAAACTTTCAATTAGGCTGAAGATGGTCTTTTATGAGACCGAAACATGTGTAACAAAATTTGTGGAGATGACTTGAGAGCATTCCATCATTCCATATTGAACTACATCTAAGTTCTAGAAGTCTTATCTTGCCGAACATCTCGCTAAACTCTCAACATAACTCACCAGAGTAGAAAAGTCCGACAGCCAGCGTGCAATAACAAAGCTTATCCATAGTGTTTTCAGATTCAGTAAGTACACAAAAATACTGTCACAAAACGCTCGGCTGATATGACAGGGGGATGTCGCGCCGTTTCGTTCTATTTAAATACTGGCGCGTCGCTTTCAGCTTTTTAACTGCCTCACGCGAAGTTCTCTAACGGACTAACTCTACGCGCGGGGTCTATTTCGAAATTACACGGGCACTGCTGTGGACGTTGGAGTTAACCAAGCGTGCACGTCGTATGGTCAATGTGGACGGACATGGTTTTTCTGCCTTTGTTGTTTGTCTAGTGTGATAATTGTCGTTTTCATTGCGAATTGAAAAGCACACGGTGGCTGATTCTCATTACGCGTTATACATACATGAAAAATAAATACAAAAAGCTCAAAGTCATTTCCACACAATGCTTATAAAAGGAACAACAATGGTGGTAGATTTCGGGAGAAAAACAACTACTTTCCTGGCTAATGCCACGCAGAACATTTAAATACATCCTCCCGAAATCTATGCATCGACTCGTATGAACGAATACTGATACAAAGTGATTATTTCCTGAATGCCTATTAATTTTGATTCAGCCAGGCCACGCTAGACACCTACAGACCGGTTTCGAGAGCTCGTTTTGACTTTAATCAGTGCAGGGCAGTCTACAACCAGCCGTCTTAAGACCGCCGACTAAGCGGAGGCTAGCCGAACAAAAATCTAGTCGGCATTATATTCCCTCAGAGGCGTCGTCCTCCATAGACAATATGAGAGCATCGCCATCTGAGTAGAAAAGAAGGAAAGAAACTCTCCAAAAAAAAATTCCTGTTGAGGACGCCTGTGAGGGAATATAATGCCGACTTGATTTTTGTTTGACTGCTTTTAGGACTGCTGACTGGAGACTGCCCTGCACTGATGAGAGTCAAAGAGCTCGAAACTGGCCTGTAGGTTGCTAGTGTGGCCTGGCTAAATTGAAATCAATAGGCATTCAGGTAAGAATCACTTGTATTAGTATTCGTTTATACGAGTCGATGCATAGAGATTTCGGGAGGATGTAATGCAAATGTTCTGATGCGTGCGGCAGTAGCCAGGAAAGCAGTTGTTTTTCTTCCGAAATCTACCATTTTTATTCATTTTATAAACATTGTGTGGAAATGAATTCGAGCTTCCTGTATTTATTTGAGATTTCATTCCACTTTGAGCATTGTGGCTATTTCGTAGTTGACATACATGAAAAATGGAAATATATGGGTATAGGTGACTTCTCATACACTCCCCGGCAAAAAAAGCGGTCATAAGAAAAATTAACCGAATAAAATATATAAGGTGATGGCATATTCATTATACAGAAAGAAACAGAAGTAACTCTTTCACCCTTAACCTCTTATTGACGCTCTGTGTGGCAAAGGTGAGTTGTAAATCAAATTTATATTCGTATTAATATATTATATATTATACTTATATTGCAATACATGTTAAGTATGTGCTACCATTTCCACATATCGTAAAAAGTCGGGTAAAAATAAGTCAATGTCAATTTTTGTAACTTATATTGACAAGATATAAATGCAGTTCAGACTATCATAAAAAGTTGAGCCAAATATTTATTTGGTACCTATACAGTTCTGTTTATTTCAATCATATATACCATAAACAATATAAAATATCTATAACATTAGTAAACTAGACCAACACTTCCTGAGAGAATTATAATATTGTCTTGTATCTTGCACATTCGAAGGAAGACTATTTTTCAGCTAAAAACAAAAACAAAATACATATCATACATACATGTAGGTTACTAGATCGGTAAGTACTTATATAGGTATCTACTATAGATAGGTACAAATTATAATCTCTTAGTCAAAAGAAATAAACTATCTTCAAGGTTCATTTAACATTAGTTTCGAGAACTCAAGCCTAAAAAGTTTCAAGGAATCCAAATCTAAAATGAAATTTCATGAATACAAATTTTTTATATTACTACTTCGAAGTTGGGAATCAACTCCCCAGAAGTCGAAACTTGTGCGGGGTTAGGAAGAGCGGAACCTAAAGCACAGAATAAAAGCGTATAGTCGATTCGATATAGTGGACTGCCTTGGACAACTTTCTGAGACGGTACCCGTATGGGAGATGGTAGTTATATTTTCATTAAGTGATCTAATTTTGGGTTTGAGCGGATAATATATTGAGTTTTTCATTTTACTTTTATATACAGAGTGGTCTATTTGAAAGCGGGCCACCCTCATAATCTTTTCATTTATGGAATGATTTTGACGATTTGTTTTCAAATGTCTAGTGGGAAAAGTTGTATTTTGGAGTTAACCGGCGTGTGATTTTTTTGGGATTGTTGGTATGGAGAGCTACCCGTGTCGCTTCATACAACTCACTTTCGATTGGTAACATGCGTTTTTATTTTTCTCGTTGTTTATTTACTGTTATTACAGCTGATGTAGTTGCGAAATAAACTGCTGGTTTTTTTTATCGCTTATGAGTGCACGAAAGGAAATCCCTATAATGTTCAAAGAACATCGTGCGTTCCTAGGGTGGATAGGGATAGGAGGTAGGTATTGGCATTTTTTTAACTTCAGGAGATTATTATGTTGTTGGGAATACTTCCTCAGGCAATGTATTCCAGAGCTTAGCCGACCGCGGTCTATGGATGAAGGAGTTTTGATAAAGTGCTGTTCGACATCTTTCGAGGTTGACAACGAAAGGATGTGCTGACTGGGCTTGTTAATTATATGGTTCTCATCAACCACTATTGTAACATCCTAACTGGCATTGAAAGCTTGATCTTATAGGGTTCCGGTGAAGATATTATAGGCAAAAATATGAAATGTTGCCTTATGCAAGCCATATGCTTTTGAGTCATTGCACTAATTGTCAGTTTTGTATACTGAATAGAAGACATTTTTGAATTTTTTAAATATTTTTTCCATGTCACGTGCACAACCCTTGACAGGAATACATCTCGGTATACCTAGCAAAGATCATTGAAATTGGAAAAAAGAGTATTGTCACTTAAAGGGTTGAAAACCAAGGTCTCCTACATCACATCTAGTGGCTGCAAACTCCAGAATCTGTATGTATATTATAGCGATTTTTCTAAAAGAAACCTGCGTACGCCACTGGAATAATTGGCGTCCTCTGAAATAGATCTGTACTGAGTTATATGAGAAAATATTCAACATTGAATGTGATCTAGTAGGCATTGGTTTTTGAAAAAAGTATACGCCGCTTAGCTCCAAAATACACATTTCCCCTCTGCACATTTGAAAAAAATCGTCAATATCAATATGGCTTCAAGAATAAAAAAATATTTATGATAATAACTAATGCTATTTCCTCTAGAAATGACATATCATATTCTAAGGATATCTGTGGGGCCGCTGCCAAATCGACCATTTCAAACAATTATTGGGAAAAAATATCTGATTCATTTCTGCATGCTGCATGAATAGCTCATGACTAAAAGTGAACAAGTTTTATAACATAATGATATAGGTACCTATAACATAACTTTTAGAACCCTGGTCATATATAATTGGTATGTATAATGAGGAAGTTCTAAAATCTAAAGCATACTGGAAAACATATAAAGTTTCCAGAAAAATTTGCTGAAGCCAATTCCTGTACAAAATGTGAGGACACGCTTGTCATCAATGACATTTCCGAATTGTCATCATCACGATGTAGGGAAGATGGTGTTGAAACAGCTATGCTTTTCCCTATGTTTATTATTCAACCAAACCGCTTTACGTACAGCACTCTTGATGATGGCACTGCTTTTAATTCGGTGAACATAAGTTGTTCGTTTTTCCCTGTAGAGGGCCATCGAAATCATGGAAATAAGTTGTGACAATTGTGAATTATGTGGTTATGTTTTACGGTTATGACACTTACGTCTAACGCGTGACAAATTCATCATTTCAAGATACATATTTGTTGGGCACGAAAAAAGAAAAAATATGGAAATTTCAAAGTCTGAAGTAACCAGCGAATGGTTTGTATCGATTTCTCGTGCGTATTTTCAAGAAGGTACCATCGTGGACATCATTCTCAGATTTGAATTAAAACGTCAGTTCTAAAAATTGAATAGGCGTCCCCACGATGTTTTCGAAAATGGCTTGTTTGGTAATGAATGGCAGAAATTCTAAGAATGATGCTCGGAATGATGCTTGGAAATGATGCTCGGAATGATGGTTGCAATTTATTTTAGTTGCCCAAAGACTAGAAGACTAGAAGTGTTTGTTAAAAACTTCAAATTCTAATACTCATTACCGCGGTGTAATTCTGGTACACAACTGGAATTCCTTGAAATTCCTTGAATTTCCTTGGACTTCCTTGGAATTCCTTGAATTCCCTTGGAACCTCTTGGAGTTCTTGGGTGAAGAGCAGTATATTCCGAGGTATATTCCTGATTTGAAAACAACTGGAATTCCTCATTTCCTTGGAATTTCTTTGATTTCCTCGAAATTCTTTATGGTTAAGAGCAGTATGATTCTGGTGTACAAACAAATGGAATTCCTTGTATTTCCTTGGAATTCCTTATGTGAAGTGTGGTATAATTCTGGTGGATGAACAACTGGAATTCCCTGGAATTACTTGGAAGTCCTTGTGACATTGAAGTTTGGTGTACATAATTTTAACCGCCATTTACCGTTCGCTCATTCCATAGAAATAAATTCAATGATATTAATATTGATATAACTACAATATGAGCATTATGTGCCTTTAGTGTTATGCAATTGTTAGGGTTTCATCAAATAAAAATAATTATGTCTGCACTTGTGTACAATGAAGGGGTGTAGAAGAATGGCATTCTATCACTTATGAAACATATTGGTGTCTCATGATTTTTGTTCAGCTGTTTATCAACATGACAAGTGTGTCCACACTCTTTAAAGAGCCCAAAATGGCATGTTTGATAGGCATATGTTGCCATGGACATGAAGAAGGAGTGAATATGAAAGGAATCAATATTCACCATACCAATAATCTAGCCAATAATACAATGAAATGTTCATACTTACTTCTTTGATTGATAACAGTTTCTTATCATTTTCACCACTTCCTTGAATCATTCTATAAAAATATTTCTTGAGCATCAATAAATCACTCACTGTGGTTCTCAGACATATCTTATCATTTTTATTATATAATATTTCACATTTATTGACCCCAAGAGAAAGTGTCAATGTGAAATCATTTTTGTCAGAACTAATTAATTCAGTGAAAAGATCAGAACTCAAGTAGTGATATGAATTCTTCAATAGTATTTCAATGAATGTTCTAATATCCATTATAAATTTGAATTCATAATTTATTACAAGTGTCTCATTTAGTTCCTTCAATGCTAGTTCTTCATTGTATCTCTTGGCAACTTGGAGTATAGAGGTTTCTCTCAAATTGGGTTGTCTTTTTTTGTCATATGCTTTGAAATGGAATGATACATCCACAAGTACTGAATCTAATTTGATTATCATACATTGATCAGTTATCAATATAGCCTCTACAGAACAATCAACAACAATTTCATCTACAGGAATTATTTCTAGTATTGGTGAGGGCAAATTGGATGTAATTTTCATGGATCTATTTATGCACATTTCATCATAGTTGATACAAATATTGATGATGCAGTTCATGCCAGATACTTTTTGTAGGAGGGCTTGTGTTAAGTACAATTCAATTAGATAAAATTTGTGACTTTCATACTTGAGGAATTGTTTTGCATCCACTTTCAGTTCATCATCATATAATGCTAATAAATCAAAGATATCTGAAAATACTTTAACTCCTACATGGGAAATTTTTTGATTAATTCCACTCACTGATAAATTGTGAATAATGATTTTATCATTCTCTTTATTCAAATGTCTCTTAAGCTGCTCGCATTTTTTGTATTCCTGATTAATTCCCTCTAGAAGATCTTCATACTTGTGAAGTTGATCAGGAAGGATGAAATCCATTTCATGAGTTCAGGTGTCTGCACTCTGCAATAGGATCATTAACTAGTTTTTTGCAAGATGTTAATCATTTTCCTCAGATTCCCGTTTATTCACTAATTATTTAAGGAAAAATCTGCTGTAACTTTGAAACCAAAAACGATTTCATTATTTATTAATTCATTTATTATTTTATTATTTTTTAAACCTTTTCTTAATATTTCGACTTTCGACATTTGACGTTCCTTCTTCCTTCTGACTTTTGACTGACGTCCGCTTGACGATTTTCTTACTAGCGTCTGCAGAGAGGACGCAAGAAATGCAGGCGCGTGGTGGGGAAATGTTGCCTCGCCTAGAAGCGGCTTACAGTGCAATGAACTCAATATGGTGTTTATATTGAGTTCATCGTGTCTCACAGGCGAATAGCGTTTCCTGTCCCGTTGCTTACTCGGCCATTGTAATTATTTACGTAAAATCGAGTCTAATATGTGGTAGAAAAACATCCTTCCTGCATAAAAAATGAAATGTGACTACTTTTTCTGAACAATCTGAGCCATCTTGGCTTGAATGAACCTTTATCTTGAAGGAGGACCATGTTGTTTCTACATGAAAATGTAACAACTTCTCCTTAACAATCTAACCTAACTAAGCCTGCATAAACCTTTTTCATATTGAGTGTATTTTTAGAATAATCACTTGAAAACAAAATTTGGAAAATAAAGTAGACCCTTGCTTGTGTTCGAACACGAGTCGCCGGCAAGCCGCATGGATTCACCACCATTGTGTCATCTGGATTCCAAATGCTTGAAAATTGTTGCATGAAGAAGAGATTCATCAGTCTGTTCGTCGACACAAGCAGTTGCATGCATAGGCTATAGCATTGAGTATAATCAAGGGCTATAGTGACTTTATAAATGAAGTGAGAACAATAGTGGTACATTTTTTGATCGGTCAGACCTCTGATGTGGAGGTGTGCATCCACCTGTCTTGTTTTCTCCATTCATTTCTACGCATTCTGTTTCACATTGTCAATACTTCCTTTCTGTCTTTTTGCTCTTTGGGCACAAAGCATCCAACAATCAGACATGAAACTCTTTACGTGAGTAACTTGAATATCAACTGTCTTTTGAGACTCGTAAACATCAGATTATCCAGATGAAAACGTCAAATATGTAAACCTAACATCATGTGGGCAAATATTCATCGGACCTCTTTATATTTCAATGCGGCCAGCTTGCTAGCAAATCATCTTTCGAATTACATTACCATTTCTTAACAGATCATGGGCGTGTTTTTCATTCCATCTAAGAAAGTGCGCACTGATAGATGCGGTTTTTTGTCGTGACGTCACCAATTGTTCTGTTGGAATTTATGCTGGAAGGATTGAACAATGGTTTATACAACACATTGATGGAAACACGGATTTTGTTGTGTGTCAGTCATCATGTATCTTGAGAATCAGAGAAGGCTAATTCGACTTTATTGATTAACACTGACTCTTTCTTCTAAAATCTCTCAAGAATCTCAAAAATCCTCAATATTAATTGTTTTCTATCAAATCAAAACAAAAACCAACACTAAAATGTGTCAACTGTCATGTCAATCTCCTCCAAACTGCTGGATTCTCGAAAAGCGATTTGAAAGTGCGCATTTTATTACAACAGTTTGATGGATGTCCATCAACATTCCAGCGGAATTTTGCAACAGTTTGATGGTTTCTTCGATTCATGCGCATGATAAAATGTTGGAATGAAAAACGTACGAAAGCACCCTGGTGTCACGCACACTTTTCTTTTTTTGGAAACTCATTATAATGACTTTTTTCTCATTATAATGAGTTTTTTCTCATTATAATGACTTTTTTCTCATTAAATTGACTTTTTTTTCATTATAATGACTTTTTTCTCATTATAATGAGTTTTTTCTCATTAAAATGAATTTTTTCTCATTATAATGAATTTTTTCTCATTATAATGAATTTTTTCTCATTATAATGACTTTTTTCTCATTATAATGAGTTTTTTCTCATTATAATAACTTTTTTCTCATTATATTGACTTTTTTCTCATTATAATGACTTTTTTCTCATTATATAGGTATAATGACTTTATTATTATTCGCCTTTATATTTTCTGTGTAAACATGATTTCTTTGGTTTAGATTATCATTATTAATTAGATTTCTTATGATTTATATCAAAATGGATGTGGTGGCCAATTATATTGCATACTACTTTTTATTGGGTCTTAGTTGCGAAGAAATTATGGCTTTCCTGACGGTATATTATAAACAGTGTATAAGTTTATCAACAGTTAAACGAATATTGAAGATAATGGCATTAATGGGCCTCTACAGAAAGAAATATTTAACTCCCTTACCAGAAGTTTTGAATTTTATAGCCGAACAAGTTGAGAAGTACGGACAGTTACACGGCTATCGATGGATGCATTTGAAATGCATCCAGCAAGGATTTGTAATTACGAATAGAAGTGTGAGAATTATATTGAAAGAATTGGACCATATTGGTGTTAGTCTTAGAAGCAGGAGAAGACTCCGAAGAAAGAAAGTAAATTCATTATAATGAGAAAAAACTCATTTTCATGAGAAAAAACTCATTATAATGAAAAAAAAGTCAATATAATGAGAAAAAAGTCAATATAATGAGAAAAAAGTCAATATAATGAGAAAAACTCATTATAATGAGAAAAAAGTCATTATAATGAGTTTTCAAAAAAAGAAAAGTGTGCGTGACACCAGGGTGCTTTCGTAAAAACGCACCCTTGTCATACTCTTGCAATGTGATGGACTCACAGCAAACCTTGATTATATACACTAGTTGAAATTTCATGTTCTATGCTTATTACTAAATCAAATTCTCGAAAGAAAATACCAGAAAATCGCCCTATATATAACCATACTTGCTCTTGACAATCTTGACCAGAGAGAGTGCCAGCTGGAGGACACTGTGCAAACGCATACTCAAATATTGTGCAAATCACACGAAGTGTACGGAAGTGCTACACCAAAGAGGAGAGGCAAGGAGAGGTGACTAACCTACTATTCTTTGGGCTCAAACTGGCAAGAGGACTACTCACAAGGGGATCGAGGCAGGAGTACATCGCTGATACTGCCGTTGCTGGCTGCCGTCGCTGCGTATCTGAAGGGTATCACCCATGCAGTAATGGAAAATATGCGTATAGTAGTCATCTGATTGTAGATTTGATATTTCTTATTTTCATGTCATCATCTGATGATATCCGAAACTCACCAATCCCAAAAGTCGAATTCTAATTATTTATATACAGAATGTCCCAAAATTGCTGACACACAGAGTTGCCACGTGTTACAGTTCAAAATATATAACTTGATTGAAGCCAAATTATCAGAATTTAAAATGTATTGTTCGTCCGTGAGACGAGTTCGAAGTTTACATAAAAAACAAATTTTTGTACGCTATTCAAAAATGAATGATATTTGACTAAACTACATTTTAGAGGATAGCCCTTCTTTCAGTGATCTAAGAAACCCGAAAGAAATTGTAAAAGGGTTGAAACCATCCCCACCTCATGACATCTTTTTCAGAACATCTTTATGGATGCTAATAGAGTTTTCGAATTGCTAAATAGCGAGATGACTGATAAAATATCTTTATTTTGTAACTCTTGTGAAAGTTTCGAATTCCTCATAGTTCCGAAAGAATAAATTTTTTCCTCAAATAATGCTAATAGCATTATATTTATTATTACTATTTTCATTATTCATATAATAATACTCCACAGATACAAATTGTAATTACAACATGAACTTGAAGAATTTTACTGAATATTGACAAAAATCGATCATCAAACCGTCAAACCAGTTTTTGGAAAGAAGTATACCACGACGAATAAGGTCTTTCCATACCATCCTCAAGAGTCAATATTTTGATAATAACTCGTATACATGTATTTGATTCATGCAAAAACAGAATATGAAGTCAGTTTACGAAATTGAATTTTTATGTTTGCCTGATTTTTGTTAAGTAATCCTGATCGCAAGAGGAAATAATGAGAAAAGAATCAAACTCAGTTCATGAACAATCTGATAGTCATTTGATTAGGCACTAGGCAGGCATTCGCCAGGGATTATAATTATCCTTGGGACTTTGCAGCGCTCGCAGCGCCAGCCATTATATTTGATGCAATAATGATGGTGCGCGTACTCGACTATTTTAACGTATTGAAAATTTGTGTTGCCCTTGGGTTTGAATTGTTCGTACAAGATTTCGTTAGCAAAAGGTGAAATATCTGAAGGTAATAGACTGAAAAAGCCTGACAGTCGACATTATAAATGCTATTCTTGTCGCAAGATTTAGACATTTTTGCACCATTTTCGACAAGAATGAGGCAGAAATCACGAAAAATATGAAACAAATATTGAGCATATAGGTTCATAGACAGAAAGCTGCGTTTTGTCATGCGAATTAATCAAAGAAACCATCAAACTGTTACAAAATTCCGCTGAGAAATGACGATGGGAATCCATTGAACGCTAGTCGCTTCTAGGGTCCCTTGATGGAAATTGATTTCAAAGTCATAGATGAAAAATACGTCAATTTACATCAAGGGACCCTGGTCGCTAATATATCTACTAATCATATATGAATCATAGCTGTCCTCAAAGCGGGACCAACTTCTGTCTCTATAGGTAACAAAATCGACCAATAGGCGTTGATGCCGACGTAGGAAAAAATAATACGAAACTTGTCAAACCATTATGGCTATTTCCATCCTTCACTATCCGTCCTTATAGATTCAAAAAGTACCTCTCATTTTGGTCCCATTTCTGTTGAGATATCGTATGTATAGGCAATGAGCCACATATAGAAATAGTACATATATTATGTAGTCGCTTCTAACGATGCGAAATTCTCCCACCACGAGCTTCATTTATTGCGTTCTCTCTGCAGACACTTACACGTACCATTCTGATTTCTGTGATGACTGTGATCTATGAATTCTGTGATTACTGTCATCTTTGAAAATAGTAACAAAATGAGGTTATGAATTATTGGACAATGTTATCCTTATCAAATTTATTGAAATTTTCAATTTTTGATTTGAGTCAAACATCTTATCAATGTGGACGGTGAAGTGTGAAATAAGGATCGTCATTTAACGATTTCTTGTTCTTAACAGCTTGAAAATTCATATAAAAATGGCACGAGATGTATTGAAGAGCAGTTTCGAGAACGCAACTTTCAGTATAATATTTCAAGTTGCATTCAGATGCATCACATTCATCTTAAATGCCTATATTATACGAACAGTTGGACAAGAAGTTTTAGGAATCATGAACGTGCGATTGTTATTACTGGAATCAACTATACTGTTCTTATCCAAGGAGCCTTTACTAAAATCATGTTTAACTGATACCAGATCTCATAATTGGGCTCAGGTCATCAATCAAATCTGGTTATCAGTACCCTTCTCAGGATTATTAGGCCTATTATTGACTTTCATATGGATAAATATGCTCACATCTACTGATGAAAAGTATGTGACCCAATATGTTGTAGGATGTTATGCAATAGCAGTGTCCTGTGTGATAGAGCAGATCTCCCAAGTTTTTGTACTTGTTGCACAGAGTTTCTGTTTTGTAAGGACAAAAGTAACTATAGATACCTTTTATATTGTGAGCCGCACTATCATTTTTGTATACCTAATGCAAAACAACCCTGATGATGCCATCATTGCATTTTCAATTGCACAAGTGGGGTCTGCCATCATTGCATGTCTATTGTACTGTATTTTCTTCCAATGGTATATTTCTTCCATCAGAAAAATCAGGCAGGAGTCTAAAATAATCAGTAATAATGAACAGGGATCCATATTCACCAATATGGAAGACTTTAACTTCACATCAATCAAAGATTTTCTTCCTGGAGTGTTAAAAAATGAGGGAAGCTTGTTAGATACAAAGTTATGTTTACTTACAGTAAGTTTCATGAAGCAGTCTGTTATGAAACAGATTCTTACAGAAGGTGAAAGATATGTGATGACAGTATCACCAATACTAACATTCAGTCAACAATCCATGTATGATATTGTTAATAACTTGGGTAGTCTTGCTGCCCGATTTATTTTTCGTCCAATAGAAGAATCAGCATATTTTTACTTCTCACAGATGATTAAAAGAGATACACCATTGACAGAACAGAACCCAAAGCATATCTCAGAAGCAGCTGAAGTTTTGAGTCAGCTTTGCAAAGTAGTGATGAGTATAGGACTTCTAGTTTTTGTGTTTGGTCAGTCATACAGTTATTCATTTTTGTTCCTTTATGGAGGCCATAAATTAGTTGAGAGTAATTTACCAGTGACTCTTCTGCGTTTCCATACTTTTGCAATAATTTTGTTAGCCATAAATGGTGTAACTGAAGGGTATGTTCATGCCACAATGGATAATGAACAGCTAGATAAGTACAACTATTTGATGGTGATATTTTCTGTTGCCTTCCTGTTGATCTCATATATCTTCACATATTTCATAGGAGCAGTTGGATTCATATTAGCTAATTGCTTTAACATGTTGGCAAGGATCATCCATAGTACAGTTTTCATCACCAAAAAATACAAAGGTACAAATCATAATCCATTAAATCATTTATTCCCAGGAGTAAAATTCCTAAGTGCTCTTGGAATATCATTTATTGTTACAAAGTTGTCTGAGGAATATATCTTACAGAAATCTATAATTTTGCATATTGGTATTGGAGGAATATGCTTTTTGTTAGCTATAGCTCTTTGGGTACAAGAAAATATGTTATTATTGAAACTCTATTATAATAAATTCAGAAATATAAAGAAAGAATCATAGTAGGTAGGTAATGATTGTTTTCAAAAATTATTTATTGTTTTATTTTCATTTCTATAAACTGTTACAAAATAAACATTCTCTTATTGGAAAACTCTTTCATTTAGCACTTCTTAGACAGCTAGTGTATTATGTATAAAAGTTTATGATATAGAAAGGATATAATTGAATTGTAATGTAATAAACTCAAAACTTGTTTTCGGATCTAGCGGCGTTAACGAGAATCACCCAAGAAAAGACAATCATCTATTTACAGAAAACTGTGAAACGGCTACGACGGTCGATACTCCCTGTAGTTAGACTAATTAATATAAATGTTTGTTGGTGTTGCCTATAGATGGCAGAGTATGGATGTTTGTCCTAGAGTGAGAGTCACTGTGGTTTGTCCCAATGAACTCAAGATAAACACCTTTATCTTATAGATAGAGTCGTTAATCTATGCCTATATTGAGTTCATTGGTTTGTCCTAGAGTGAGACTTTCTAAAAAGATTGACGACAATAGTTGTACACCTTTTGATTGATCAGACCTCTAATATGGAGGTGCACCCACCCACCTGCAATCCCACCTGTCTTGTTTTCTCAATGCCTAGTCTTTGTTTTTTGCTCTTCGGACACAAAACATCCAACAATCAGACATAAAATTTTATACGTCAGTACCTTGGATTTAATAACTATTAGAATCCGTCTTCCGATCGAGACTCTTATTAGGTCTCAGATTATTTTGTAGACGAAACACAATTATCAAATAAATATCTGATAACATTTCAGGCATAGGTACCTATGCATTTTAGATTTTCAGCTATTTAGTGACTTGACATTCCGGAAATGGCAGCCATTTGGATGTCTATTGTCGTCACTCTAGTTATAAAGTCACTCATCCTAGTTTGTCCAAATGACTGCCGTTGCCGGCATGCCATTCCAGGTCAAGTCACTGAATATATAGCTAAATATCTGAATGGTATCTCCCATGCAGTAATGAATTTGCGCCTCCGAAGAGGCCACCTCATCTGATATAAGGTTTGGATATTTGATAATTATCAGAATAATCTGAAATTTACGAGTCCCAGTAAACGGATTCTAATAGTCTATATCCAAAGTACTGATCCGACGCATAGAGTTTCTTGTCTGATTGTTGGATGGTTACCCTAACAACACAGGGATGTCCTAGGTACGTCCCTTTTTTGTCCCGCGGTACAAGGACATGATTGGGGCATCCAGGAGATGTCGCGCAGTGGTTGTCCAGTGAACATCCCGCCCGGTACATCCCTAGGTTATCCTATTCGTGTCCCTGGAATATCTGATCATCAAAGTATTAAGTTGCATTTTTTTGAAAATGTTTGTTTTTCTTTCGGAAAATAATCGTAATGAAAATAAAGAATGAAGTTTCACAACTTCTTGAGAAATTACCATTTTTCGCAAACTGAAATCGTACCTACATGCATAATGCACCTCATTTTCAAACACCCAAGAATGATATTATAATTATACCCAAATCCTAACAAAGTTGAATTTATTCAGGTTTCTGTAGTTAAGTCCTGTTTATAAATCTGTTTAGTACATAAATCTTCAGGTGGCTCAATAAGATGCGTGCTTGATAAGCCAAAGGTTCCGGGTTCAATCCGTACTCAACCTACATTTTTTTCTTTTGTCGAAGGGATGTCCCTGGGATATCCTTGGGACGTCCTAGGGATATCCTTTCTTTTTACTTGGTACATCCCAGGGACGTACCAGAAGGACATCTCTATAGGATGCCTCTTTTTGTGAAAAGCGGATGACCCTGGGACGTCCCTAGTATGTACCATGTCCCGACACAGGATATCCCAGGGACGTCCTCGTAGAAAATGAAGGACGTCCCTGGGACGTACTCGTGTTGTTAGGGTAATGTCCAAAGAGCAAAACATAGACAAAGCTTTGATCGACAAAATGGAATAGAATGCGTAGAACTGAATATGGAAAACAAGACAGGTGGATGCAACTCCATATTAGAGGTCTGACCAATCGAAGAGTGTATAGTGTATCCAAAGTCAATTAGAGCAGCATCTCTAGCCGCACATGCAGTCACTTCAAAAGGAACTTCAAACCCGCCGACGCCACGCGGTGCGAGAGAATGCTTCAATTCGACTGGATACATTATACCACGACTATATTGTCGTCACTCTATAAGTATATAAAGTCACTCTTGTTTAGTCGACAGTAGAGTGAGTAGATTTAATAGTGACGACAATAGGAGGTCTGCCGTTTCTGGAATGTCGTCACTGAATTGCTAAAAATTTGAAGGGGGCCTACCTGATGTTAGGTTTAGATATTTGATATTTTATCATCTAAATAATCTGAGACTTACAAATCCCAAAGGAAGGATTGTAATAGTTAATAACCAATAAGTTACTGATAGAGTATAGTTTCATGATTGTTGGATGTTTTGTGCCGAAAGAGTATATAAAAAACAGACACCATCTTATGGATGTACAGCAGGTTGGTGGCCTAGGGTCATCCACTGGACGTCCAAAGAATATCCTTTGGATGATATTTGGGCATCCATTGGACATCCATCAAATGCCCATGTGTTGTATGGGAAGTATAGTGAAGTTGTTCGTAATGAAAAACATTAGTGAACTTTTTAACTCAGGATATTCTTCAAAGACGATATCCTCGTGATTATTAATGGATTTCCATCTACCAAATAGATGTCTAATGGATGCCCATCGACATCCAGTTACCTGATGAACAGAAAAATGACTGGTATTGAGACTTTCGGAATCACAAAGAACATTCTTGGCCCTTCTGTCATTTTATGAATAACATTACGATTTCAAATGAAACTCAAAGTTTGAGGTATACGCGACTTCTCATTCATCATTAAAATTGATATGAATCGCTTAGTTTCATTTGTCACTTATAATTACAGGAGAGTTTTTTTGTCGAAGTCAACTTGATATTTCGATGAGAATTTTGTTTCCTGAAAATTGAACGAAAAAAATTGCCTTTTAAAAAATAACGAGCCCGGTAGGACCAGTTATTTGTCCTGGCAGTTTCTCGAGTTATATTATTCTAAAGGCACTAAACTCCAATTTCGAATGTTAAGTTTATCTCTACCCAAATTATTGTTGATGGATTTTTCAATTTCTCCACTTCAAATTGCGCCATTTCCACAGATTAGATACTATCCTGACAAGGCAAGATTGGGAAGGATTGACATCATAATGACAAAATCACAGCGGCTTATGCATTGGATTTTTCATACATGAGTTAAATTGTCTGATATAAATTAGACGTCTCAGGGATGTTTGTGTTTAATGGGCTCATAACATTTTCATCGTTTTTATTGTTTGCAATTCGTCGTTTAAATTTTGAAAAAAAAAGAAAAATCAAACATGTATTCAGATTGAAAATGTATTCAGTTTCACTATCAGGTAGGTATCTTTCAGGTACCATTCGAAATTTTATTTCTCATCTATGTTATAGCCGAGATCGAAATCATTTTGAGCCATGTGCAGTAGATTGTTACAGTGGTTTGCATCAACTGTACCGTCGTCTTTCATCTTCAATATCGTTGATAAAATAACCATGTGCGTATTTTTCAGCTGTTCGCATAAGCTATTTTCAGTCTCAAATTTCCTTTGGGTCTCATGTAATCTCAGTGTTAGTTCAGACCTAAAGTGAACAAAATTGATTTCATTCATATTTTATTTACTAGCTAGAGGTGAATGCACTCATTGGAAGAAAGGTACATATCTTGCCGTGTGTATCTTTATAAATGCTGGAGGAAATGGATACATACATTTGCTCCCTCAATATACAGGGTATTCCTTGAAAACATGCTGATATTTGAGAGGGTGATTGTTTGACTAATTTCATGAAGAATACTTCATATGAACATAATTCGATACCATAGTTCAATAGTGTATAACATCTCAAAAATCGTAGTTTCGAGAAAATCGCAATTGAAAATTCAGCTCATAATAATTTGAATCTAATTTTGTAGATTATGTCCCAAGGATATAAAATAATAGCCATACCATAGTAGTTTTCTTTTTACTTCCATATCAACAAATTTAAAAAAATAACTTTTGGTAAAAAGTGATTTTGTTCGGACTTGTTACACTATTGATCTGAATTATATAATTGATAATATAAAGCTCTGTGATCAAAAATCATTATTATTATTAGATCAGTAAGTACAATAACTACAATCACTTTAGGAACAATGATATAACATAGTATTATAAGTTTGTTTTGAGTGTCGAAATCAACCATTGTGAGTTATGCAATGTAACAACTATGAATCACTGAAAATATTTCACAGTTCAAAACTGTAGCAAGTCTTGATTATTGTATCGAGTCGATTACAGTATGGAATTTCATAGAAATGAAGTTTCCTTCGGTTCTATAGAGTAACTAGCACCATCCCTTGGTCAGTACTGGAACTTTCAGTTGTTACAGTATAGCCCGTGAAAGCTAACAAAATGATGAATCAGATAGCGTATACAACTCAAAATGGTTATTTTTTGAGTTGTTACACTATTGAACTGAGGTATCGATATGTCCTGAAAGTCTTATCTTTTGAGATACATGGTGATGAAGTTTTGAAAAATATTCAGTTTTTTGATAATAGCTGGGATAATATTGTATACATCTACATGAAATTTTGTACACGTCTTTCATGCATCAAGGTGCATTTTATGATTTACAAAATTCTTCATTTCTTCCACCAGAAGCACCGTTAAGGGAATATCTTTGTTTATATTCTCATAAGGATGGAAAATTTTCGAATTCCGTAAAATGCTATGGAAGGCTATTCAATTATGTACAAAAAAATTCTCCTGTCAATACTCGATAGAACACTACGTTTTAGAGAAAAACCGGGAAAACTAGACCAGACTTCAATTTTTGATGTCTGTCACAGTATAAACATTCGAAGAAATCTTCATACCAATTCAGTCACATTGCCGACGGAACTTTGCCATTACGAAAATATACAGGGTTGACAAAAAAGAATTGCATATTTTCAACATCAAAAGTTAGGACGTTTACTAGATACGTTCATATGAAGTTCAATTCTTGAAATAGGTCGAATAATCGGTCCCTTGAATATTTGCATATCATTGAGGAACACCTTGTATAAATACTTGACGTAAACTCACTTTTGGAATTCCAAATTCGTTACTTCTTGACTGAGATGATCAGCATCTTGCTTGAGACTGATTATTAGGTTATTGCTCTCTAGAGACTCTTTTTTCAGGTTGTCTAGCTGATTCTGAAATGAATCAATAGTCATCCAAATCATTATCTATGTAGACATGAAATAGAGTTCTTGGAGTCATCTTGAAGGTAGAGTTTCTCAATGTATTCGACACTTAAATTTTGACATTTTCGTATTCGAGGAACCCTAGGTATAGGTAATAGGATACTAAAAAAAAATAAAAGGCGGGTGGACTATATTTTTTTTATTTCTTAAATAGAATCTTCACTCGAATCCCTTTCAATTTCATACTTTTACGTCTTGTCAAACCCGGCCTAACGGCCTTGTTGGACAAATTTTTGTCGCGTGCAATAAACACCAACTTTCTGCACTTGTTTGATGAATAACTATTATCTCGTGTTATATTCAACGACAGGACTCTAATATACAGTGTGACCCACTTCTAATGGAAACACCCCTGTATCTTATGTAATCGTTGGGTAAGGATCCTGAAATTCGCTGATGCGAGAGATACATCAAAAATGCACTCTATGACCAAGTGGGGTCATCTTCAGTGATATACACTGCTCGCCAACAGCCATGGAACTACCCAAATTTCCGGAAAATGATATTAGGAGTCAAAATAGGTTGAAAATAACTTTGGATTCGGAATCAAGACGCCCAATTCACTAACTATTCATAGTTTTCCTAGTGAATTTTCAGTTCAGATAAACTAAATTTTGCCTCACTTCTCTTGGAAGCACCCCCTGTATCTCACGAAATTATTGAGGTAGGGTTCTAAAATTTGCTGGACGAAGGGGGTGTCCAAAGATGAAGTCAATTACGTTAGATACGGGGGTGCTTCCGTAAAAAGTGCGACTGAATTTAATTTTTCAGAATTGAAAATTTTCCAGAAAGAATATGAATAGTTAGTGAATTGGGCGCAGTGTATATCACTGAAGATGACCCCACTTAGACATAGAGTGCACTTTTGGTATATCTCTCGCTCCAGCAAATTCCAGGATTCTCACCAAACGAGTACGGAAGATACAGGGGTGTTTCCATTTGAAGTGGGTCACACTGTATGTTTGATAACTTGATTATTATTGGTGACTTGACAACTTTGCTCCATAAAAGGAAATGGAAGATTATCTGACCAATACCGAAAAGTATAGATACTGACGACACCATTTATTCGACGTACCGCCAAATGACGGCATGACGGTACGTTTGAAATGAGCTCTGAAATTCGACAATTTTGAACAACGCGTAGACTCATTATTTACATAAAAAGTGAGAGAGCATGAGAAGTGTAGCAAAAATCAATTTTGGTCCCTAAAAACCCAATGGAGTAATTGCGAATGGCAATAAGTCATCGTCAGTCCACCCGCCCATTATGCATGATGGGTTGGAAGAAAGGGACCAAAAGATACTTGATTAATGTCGTTTCTCAGGAATAGAGTAGTTTTTGCAGAAAATAATACGAAAAATCTATCACTTATTATGTTGAAATGATGGTAGCTATAAATAAAGAGCCAGTGCACACAAATGGATGAAACGCTAAAAAACTGCTGTTCATTCCATACCATCCAATGCATTCAACTACATACCCAGCGAGCACAAAAACATCTCAGAGATGTTAAAAGTACGAGATTTCGAGACATTGAACCTCCACTGCGATGTTCTGTTCACACATGAATAGAACTATTATAGAACAGCCAATGTCCGCCGAACGGCAATTATCGAGATGTCCTTGATATGTCACAAAACTACCTTCTCCCTAGTTCTTTTCTAAGACTTTTCATGAACACAACAAAACATTTTCAACGCGTCTTGCGCACATTAAATTGCTGTAAAGAAACCATTTTCGAGGTAATTTTCTGAAGCCTTTTGTCAAAATGAACTTTTCCATTAGGATTCCATTTCCTTTGAATGAAAAAATGCATTAAAAATAGATTGAACATAAAAATATTTTCTCGATATGAAATTACCTTCTCAATCGGTTTCTGAGTAGTGCTTACTACACACAGACATATAATTGGAAATAGGTTTCCTAATTTTTGAAATGTTCTCCACAATGCATAATTTTGCAACTGCGGAGAAGCTGTGTATTGATAAATTCGTACTTTTATATATTGATTACACTGAGGCACCGAACAACACATATTGCATCTGATGGTCATTATTACAAACCAAATAAGTCTTCTAACACAATGAACTTCACCAAATTCCTTTCTGTTTGTTAGCAGCGTGATGTAAGCGTGACACGCTGCAAACGCGAATGCCAATTGCGAACAAGAAGAACAAAATCGAAAACAAATCAGAATTCATCGTATTGTGACGTAAGCATGAGACGTTGTGGTGGGGCAAACAAAGAAAGGGCACAAAAGAACAAGAACAATACTTTCAATATCCTTCTAAGACCTCTTTGGGAAGTGCATATTACGCCTCGAAAAAACATCCTCATGCCTACATTTCTAAAACATCCCAAAACATCCCAGGGATACCTCTCAGTAGGCAAACAAAGAAATGCCACAGAAAAACAAAAACAATACTTCAATATCCTTCAAAGGCCTCTTTGGTCAGTGCATATTACGTCTCAAAATAACATCTTCATGCCAACATTTTCAAAACATCACAAAACATCCCAGGGATGTTTGTGCTCGCTGGGTATTCTCCAAACACCTTATGAATTTGAGTTACACCTACCTTCAAACTTTCATATTCGGCGTCTTTATTCAAATCTGTTCCTCTTATCTGCAACAAAACGTATTGATGTAATAATCGTCCTATTTCAATAATTGTAATGTAGGTGTAACAAACCTGATTCTCTAAAGCTAAACATTTTCTGAGCAAATCGTTATAGCGCTTTTGTAAATCATCAAGAGATGATTTCAAATTGTCTCTTTCTTGCGTCAAAGTATTGATACGATTTTTTCCATCGTTCAGTCCATCAAGAAGTATATTAACTTGTTGCTGTAAATCAGCCTACAAAAAATGATTAACAAGTGAGAATTTGTCATTGACTGGAATTTATTGAGCAGTCCTGCATTTTTCAAAAACCCTGATCATTCATGAAAATCATTGAGTAGGATCACTGAAGAACTATTGGTGTGCTATAATATACATGGTGATTTACGTAGACCACATTGAAAAAGTAGAGAATTAACTATTATATCGTGGCTTTTTTATGTTATGATTCATCTCGTGTTTTATTCAACGACAGTACTATGATCTTTCCAATGAATTGATTATAACTGGTGACTTGACAACCTTGCTTCATGAGTGGGAATGAAAGATTATCTGACCAATAACGAAACAGCATTAAAAACTGACGTTACGTTTGAAATGAGCTCTGAAATTCAATACTTTTGAACAACGCATAGACTCATTATTTACATTAAAAAAGAGTGAGGAGGGTATCAAAAATTGATTTAGTTCCCCAACGATACAATGGGTAATTGAAGCCAATTATTCATTAGCAGTCCTCTCGTCCATTTTGAACAACGATTAGACTCAATATTTACACCTACTTATTTTTTTGACACCTCCTGAGAGAACATTGCATGTGGGGATGAGATACTTGAGCATTCCTGATACCTAACTCGAACTTTCGAGTTATTCAATGAAACTCGTGTGTATGAATCATCCTGTATTTATTTTCCAGGTACGAAAATGTCAAAAAAGACATGATACTGAGCCTGAAGTTAATTCAAAAAGAAGAAGGAGAGTTCGAAGTCATCTCCACTACTTCATTAATGATGTAAATCAATCAAACAGACATGTTTCGGACCTATGAACGTCCATCTTCAGCCGTTTTTGAAAGGTACTGCAACCAAAGGCATGTGAAAATATACCTATTGTTATAAAAAACCAAAAATTGACTTACTTGGAGGTGAACAATACATGTTTTTGAAATGAATGCCGATGTCTATCATCATAAAATCGTGATTATTAATAAATAGAGGTTGGGAAAAAACGGGTTTTCATTAAAAATGAAGGGCCCCGTGCCCTAAGAACGCGCACTTATGAAACCAAAAGTCAAGTCCCAGAAGGGAAACTTGACGAGCACTCAAAGGTGCTCGTAAGTAGGTAAGTAAATTGTTTCAAACAGCACACTTCCATCATGTACCAACTGAGTAAGGATTTTGTTGGATTTCATCACCCTTCAATTTTGATACATAGCTACATAGAGAGAAGTGCACAAAAAACGACCAGTGCTGTACACTGAACCCCCTCAATTTTTCGAGATCGGATTTTGAAATTGGTGAGTATAGAAAATATACCAAATTCTTTGACAAGAAAATTTTCGTTTTATCACTTCCGGTCGAACCGGAAGTAACCCTAACTTCTGATTCTCAAATAGGAAACATTTATACAGGTTTTTCTATTCAAAAATCAACAATTGGGGTTGCTTTCGATTGGACCAGAAGTGATAAAACAATAGTCATTTATGTACCAATGACAGAAAACGGACTCTGAGATAGCCAAGGCTACGAATCAGGCTAGACAATAGACAGTTTTTTGCCTAGGTGCATATTTATTCAATTTATATCACAAACTACAGTTACATAGGTACTTATAAGATTAGAGTTTATAAAAAACAGGAACGAATAGTAAAAATAAACAACAAAAATATAAAAAACAGATAAAAAATGAAACGTAAGAACCAAACTGTTATAAAGGAGGTATATAAAATATTGAATTTGATCTGAATCAGATACAGAATAATTGTCCTTTCTTGGTTTATATAGGAATATAAATATAGGAATGATATACAGGGTGGGCCACCAGTAACGCCTCGGTCTCTAGAAGGCTAACCACTTATCTTCTTGGAATTCTTCCTCTCCAGGAAGTTGCATGTCACTGGTACTGGTACTGGTACTGGTGGGGGACGTTTCCACGTCAGCAACTAGTCCCCAATGGGACCTTTTTGCAAACCCCAAGTGTTTTCAATGACTGATGTGGTTCGCTCAAGAGAGCTTGCTAACATCCTTTTCAGGCACCGCCCATCAGCTCTCTTTTCAGAGTTTTTCAGCTGTGTTTTGTAGGCTAGTTATGTACTCACTACCATATGCGCAGTGGCAGGCCTGCTAACTATCATCGTTAACCCCCGAGACTAGGGCTGTGCGATATTGAAAACTGGATATCGATATCGATGCACGCTTTGGTATCGATATCTATCGATATATCGATATGTATCGATATATCGATATGTATCGATATATATCGATATATATCGATATGTATCGATATGTATCGATATGTATCGATATGTATCGATATATCGATATGTATCGATATATATCGATATGTATCGATATGTATCGATATGTATCGATATGTATCGATATGTTTCGATATGTATCGATATGTATCGATATGTATCAATATTAATCGATATGTATCGATATGTATCGATATGTATCGATATGTATCGATATATCGATATGCATCGATATATTAATATGTATGTAATATATCGATATGTATCGATATATTATGCTGTCGAACTGTATTAAAATTTTCACAATGCAAAATTTCCTAAATTTCCACCAGATATTTGATATTCTGAGATTGTACAAATTTACACACAATAATAATACCAATGGTTCGTTTGTTGTATATCGTTATGTATCGATATTAATCGATATTTTTCGATATTTATCGATATTTATCGATATTTATCGATATTTATCGATATTTATCGATATTTATCGATATTTATCGATATTTACCGATATTTATCTATGTTTATCGATATTTATCGATCTTTATCGATATTTATTGATATAGATATATAACGATATGTATAGATATATCGATATGTATCGATAAATATCGATATATCGATACATATCGATATATCAATACATATCGATACATATCGATACATATCGATACATATCGATACATATCGATACATATCGATACATATCGATACATATCGATACATATCGATACATATCGATACATATCGATACATATCGATACATATCGATACATATCGATACATATCGATACATATAGATACATATCGATACATATCGATAAATATCGATACATATCGATACATATCGATACATATCGATATATATCGATATATCGATATATCGATATTTTTTCTCAATGGTATCGTTATTCGATATATTGATATATATCGATATATATCGATATATATCGATATATCGATATTTTTGCGCAGCCCTACCCGAGACCGAGGTCTACTTGAGCAGCTGGCCCGCTCTCACGCTCAGCTGGTAGTTTTCCACACCCACCTACATACACCGTCCTACTTCTTCTCTGATGCTCACAACCACATCATCATAACTTTCTGCGTGTTCTGTGTAGGCTTTGTTACTAACTCCATGCGCCACTTTAGGAGCAGCACTGTTAATTGGAACGCAACAGCGAATCGTGCAGGACTATCCCCAGCCGATGCTCCGAAACGTTACAATATTTAATTCGTAAATAAAATATTGAAAAAAGTTCCTTGCCCGTACTGGAAATCGAACCCACGACCTTGCGGTCGTGAGACGGACGCTCTTCCACTGCGCCAATCCCGGCAAGTTGCATGTCAACATAGGCTACCATTTGAAATTATTTCGAAACATACAGGGTGTCCCCAAAAACCATAAAACACTGAAGTTAAACTTTTTTCTATCGAACACCCTATATATTATTTCATTCTAAGATTCTCCCTAATGAGCTGATTTCAACGACCAATCATACTTGGGGTCTAGCAGTTATGATTACTGAAATATAGGGTGTGAAAAATCGAGATTTTCCAAGTTCAAGAATTTTTTGTGTCGAAACTATTCATAATTGGTCAAAACGGCTTGCATGTCCCTATCTCAACTTCTGATTAACTATCTACCGATATTTAATTGGGACATATACCGGGTGATCAAGATTCTGAATTCTGCACCACCCTGTATTTGTTTCAATTAAATGTCAGTAGATAGTTGATCAAAAGTTGAGATAGGGACATATGAGCCGTTTTGACCAATTATGAATGGTTTAGACACAAAAAATTCTTGAACTTGGAAAATCTCGATTTCTCACACCCTATATCTCAGTAATTATAACTGCTAGACCCCAAGTATGATGGATTGTTGAAATCAGCTCACCAGGGAGAATCTGAAAATGAAATAATATATGGGGTGTTCGATTGAGAAAAGTTCAACTTTAGTATTTTGCGGTTTTTGGGGACACCCTGTATGTTTTGAAATAATTTCAAATGGTAGCCTATGTTGACATGCAACTTCATAGAGAGGAAGAATTCCAAGAAGATAAGTGGTTAGCCTTCTAGAGACCGAGGCGTTACTGGTGGCCCAACCTGTATAGGAATATAAAATATTGAATTTGATCTGAATCAGATACAGAATTGTCCTTTCTTGGTTTATATAGGGCCCCTTGATGGAAATTGACGTTAAAGTCATCTTAACAGGGTACGGACAGATCCTCGTCTCCTCTCACTCTAAAGTGTTTGTGAAACAGTTATATAGCTCCATCCTTATTCAATTCTGGGGATAAACACTAGATTTTTGACATTAGTTGTTTTTTAGGTTATATTGAGGTCACTGGCGTATCATAAGTAATTTCCATATGGAATTCCTGATTCAACTATACCAAGATATAGATGAACAATTCTCTAGTTTTAGAGTTTACTACTCCAGAACAATTTTTGCGCTTTAGGGAACATATAAATTGTACTGAAAGCATAATATATTTCATCAGAAGAGACTGTTCCTAGACTGTATACCAGGGTTGACTGAATTGACTGAATGAATTCTGATTTCAAGCCAAGTAGTAGTTTATCTATGAGCTGAATGAGCTGAGCCTTATGATTGAGAAATGGTGGAAACCGCGATGTGGGTATCTAGACTACTGTACTCATGTCATGTGTGCTGAATATATTTTCAGAAATCCAACTCGGAGAAGAATTTATGGAGTTACTAATATCACACTATGTATGAAACTTCGCC